GTTGGATAGATCGGAAATCTCCTTCAGTCTGCAAAATTTGAGCGAAAAAGGGAGAGTGAAACAAAAATTAATTAATATTAGAATGAGGTTTAAGTGCATGGGAGATGGAATGAGAAGAACGATTTGTGTAAGGCTAGGGAAGACACTGAATTAAGCGAAGAAGACGATTGAAATCGGCGGATATAAGAACCCTAGAGAGATAGTTCGAATGGAGAGTCCAGAGTCCAGACCCGATAAAATTTACTCAGTAAAAAATTGTCAATACTCTCTAACTAATTAGAAGGTGTCTGCCGTCAAAAAAAAATTAGAAGGTGTCCTAAATGGGTTTTAATGACACTTATCAAATTATGTGTCCTTAATTAGTGTCCTTATATCCCTATTTTCTTGTAGTGTATGGTATTAATTTTATTAATATCATTGCCAGTGTTATGGATACCTAAAGGGTCACACACTTAGGACTTGTAAGGGAGTAGTATACTACACTAGTGGGAGTAATATTAAATATATAGTTGTGATAATTTTATACATATATATGTATTTCGAAAATACATATGTATTTTAAAATTATATTTTGTTTGTGTCATTTTAATTATATGATAATTATATTTTGACAAAACAAATTTTATTATATATATATATGTAGTGCCGAATATATATATATATATATATATATATATATATATATATAATTTTTTATTTTTCATCATTTTAATTATTTGATAATTATTGATGTCAAAATAAAATATGATATATTATAAATTTGAAATGGCCGAAAATTTCAAGAGAAAGATACAAAACATATTTTGATTTTTTACCTAATGATATATTTGATTTATATAATCAAATACTCCCTCCGTCCCTAAATAAAGTTCCATTTTTGACTTTTTGAGGATTTAAGGGAGAGATATTTTTGTGTTGATTTTCCAAAAATACCCTTGATGTGATATGTAAAAGTAAGAGGTGATAGGTAGATTATTAGTAAAAAGGTATGATGTGATAGGTAGGGTATGAAAAAGTAAGGGGTAAAAGGGGTTTTTTAAGGGAAAAGAGAAGTTTATTTAGGGACAAAGAAAAAACGAAAGAGGAACTTTATTTAGGGACGGAGGGAGTATTTGATTAGTAAAGAATATTTGTATTGTTGTGTTGGTTGGGAACAATGCATTAAGCCAAATTTGTTTTTGTCCCTAAGCAATTTCCTAGCAATTCCTTAATGCAATATATTATAAAATGAGAAATATCCCTCCCCATTTTCAAGGGTGAATTTCGGCCATAGAGAGAGAAAGGAAGAAAAATATTATTTTGTGTTCCAAGTTATTTTTCTAAAGTGTTAGAAATATACACAAAATATTATAAAGAAATATTTATAAGATAAATATTTTTACTATATATTTATTACTCCCAAAGTAGTATTATTATAGTTTTTACTATCCTAAATTAAACTTGCTAGCACAAGTTTAATCTAGGACTCCGGAGCAAGTTCGTGTGGATACGTTGGAGGCTTAATACGTTTGACGCTACGTTCATCTCCTCAAAACCATCCCCGACCGTTTCTCCGTTCTCCGTTTTTCACCGCTAAGGTAAATTTCTTACTATAGCTAGTAATTTACGTAAGTTGTTCTTGGGTGGAATCGAGTTTTGGACTCTAAATTTTTGTTTTCCGTTGCGTCATCCAAGCCTCGTTTCCCAACAGTGGTATCAGAGCCGGCTTACGAAGTTACTAGTTTAGTAGTTTTTACCGTTATCGTTTTTGTAGATTAGTCAATAAATTTTGGAGACAAAAATTTATCCCATTATAAAATTTAATTAGGTGGCCATATTTAGATACTGGACCTAATATAATTTTATTAAGTAATTTTCGGAATTACTGTTTGGGGTATTTTTATATTATTCTTATTAAGTAGTTTATGTGTAGAATACTTGTTATTTGTGCCATAAACACTTAATATTTATTAAAATTAGATTTTATATTTTCTGGGATGTATTTGAAATGTCAATAAAACTCAGAAATTTTAAAATCGATTTTTGGAATTAATTTCCTATTTTTATATTTTTAAATTCGTTTATTGAATAGAAAATAGGAAAATTATTTTTGACAATGAAAAATTCATTTTAATTCAAAATAAGTTGCGACCAGATATGTTAAGCTTGTATAAAAATTTTCATAATTTTTAAGCACGTAAAAGTATTTATTTTGTATTTTTGAAAGAATTGGATCGGTACTATTCACTAGTCCGATTTTTAATTATTTAAAATTGCAAAATTAATATTTTAAATTCTGGAAAAATCATATTCTGGTTCTGGAACTTATTTTTGACTTGAAAAATAAATTATTAGAATTTTTTAATTTCGAAATATATTTTCACAATATAATTTCGGTTTTCTAGCTTTGAAAAATGGCTTTCAAAATTTTAAATTTTATTCATTCTGTAAATTTAGGATTTCCAGATTAATAAAGTTTACTGGGAGTCTCCAATAATTATTTGCTAATTTAGAAAACATATATGTATTTAATTCAAAATAAAATCCATTTTTCGAATTTAAATATATATATACGGTAAATATAAAATATTTTATTTTCTGGAATTTAGAAAATTAAATTTCTAACATTCTGGAAATTTAAAGTATTTTATGATTTTTAATTAAATTACTTGCTAGTTTAATTAATTTATTGTTGATAGTTTATTCCGTAGAATAGAATAAACTAGGTCTGGGGCGAGCGCGGTTCGCCCGGTGTTTGCTTTAATATGTATGATGTGATGCATGTGATGCTTGTATGTATTATTGCATGGTGGATGATTGTGGCTTAGTTATATTTGTTATAATTTTAAATACGGCCCTGCGTGTCGTGCCTCATCTCTATACTCTGGATGTAATTCTCTTCTTTACCTCAATATTCTTTTCTCTCGAAAATTATAAGAAGAAAAGAAGACGAAGTCCGTTCGTGATGGAGAATCCTAAGGGAGACGTGATGGGCCGGAGATAGAGATCTCTTGATCAAGGCGCTGTCGTTTGTTTTTCTTTAGGAGCCACAATCATTTCACGTTTACTTATTATGCATGTGATGTATGATTGAATGTATGCATGTATGTGATTTTCGCTAGTGCATGCGCGCGGTGTATGCCATAGGCAAGACTGCGTAATAAATCCCTCATAATTTTAAGTCTGTGCAACCCCGACGCCCCGTCACTCGTCAAACCCAATTTAGATCGGTAACGGACTCACCCAAGTGAGACGCCCGGTTTACGTTGGTTAGGCGCGAAACCCGTAACTAGGGTACTGACTCGCCCCGGGTTAGTCTTAACTAAGTCTTGGTCATATGGATGAGAGACTTAGGGCACTGCGGTAGGATCAATAAATAAAATCAGATCATCCAACCAGAGTTGTAA